ACGCTGCCTTCGACTGGCTGGAAACCCCCCCGGGAGCTCCTGTCCCTCGCAGGGAGCCGGCCTGGCGGGGACGGGACCCCCACTCGCGGGCCGCTCGCTCTGGGGTTGGCGCCGGGGGAGCTTTGGCCCAAGGGAAAGCGCCCCCGGCTAGTTACAAACCCGGCGGGGGGGGGGTGTGTCAGCAGGGCAGTAACTTCTCCCAGCTCAGCCAGCCCCGGCCCTGTCCTCCCTCGGCCGTTCCCAGCCTCGCTGCGCCCTGCGCGCAGCTCCGCGGAACACCCCCCCCTCCAATGCAGAAAGCCCGGGGCCCAGCCCGGCCCGCGCCCGAAGGCACCAGCTGTCACCGCGCGCTGGCTGCTGGCGGGAGCCCGTTCGCACCTTCGGCTCCCGGGGCTGGGTCCCTGACCGGCCCGAGCTGTCCGGGCAGGGGGACGAACCGGAGCGCTCCCCAGCCAGCCTGCTGGAGGGGTTGCGGGCTCCAGCTCCCTCAACCCGCCCCCCAAATCACTTACCACCACGAGGAGTCCACTCCGGGCGTGAGCGTCAGCAGCACCAGCACCACCGCGAAGCAGAGCCGGGAGCTGGCATTCGTGCCCTCGGCGGGGGCCGCTGTCCGCGGGAGCTGGCTGCAGCCGGGGGCCCGGGGGCCAAGGGAATCCTACCAGCGCCTTCCCCGCGGCTTAAGCTCAGCATCGCTTCCCCAGGGCGGCTCTCGAGACGGAGAAAGAACAGGGGCAAGTTTTATCCAGCTTCCCTCGGGGCGCGGGACGGGGCCGGCCCCCCTCACTCCTCCCGGGGCAGCCAGGCTCCGCCTCGTCCGTGGGGCCGAGCGCGGCTTGGCAGGTTCCGCTCTCCACGGCTCGCGCGGCTGCGTGGGCAGCGGGAGGCAGCCGAGGGCAGGAGAACTGCTCCATGCGCCCGGGCGCACCGGCTGGCTTGGGGACGCGCCGCCCGCTGGCGGGCACCTCCAGCAGGGCTAAGCCCCCAGCGCGGGACGGGGCAGCTCGCTCCCGAGCGGGGAAGGGGCCGCTTCCATGGAGCTCCTGGCGCGGGGGCTGCGGACACACTGGAGCTGCGGGCGTGGGGGCAGCCTAGAAATATTGACAGCTCCTGTGCGCTCCGGGCTCTCATTGGGCAGAGTCAGCGGCGCGGGGACACGGCTGGGCTGGAGCCGGCCCTGCGCTCCCCTCTCCCCAGAGGCGCCTTGGCCACCCCCTGCAGGCTGCGGGTCCCGGGCCCCTTTCCCCCAGGCACCAGCCCGCCTGCTGCCCGGCGAGAGCTCCGAGCGCCTCGGGGAGCGGCCGGCTCCGGGGTGGGCACCACTGAGCGAGCAGGGGGTGAGAGCGGAGCAGGAGGATTTCCTTGGCACGGAACCCCCAGCCCTTCCTGGGGCTGCCCCGGGGCATGGTGCGCGCCCTGCCCCGAGCCTTACGGGCAGTGCGCCTAGGGGGGACCCTGACTTCCAGCAAGCCAGCACTTCCCGGAGCGGGGTTACCGCTGAAAACTCAGCCCCGGTGGAGCAGACTTTCCTCAGGCCGGTGATCCCCCCTGCGGGCCTTGGGGTCCCCACCCGACCGGCGGGACAGGACTTCCAGCCACTCACTCGCCTTCCTGCTCCTTTGGCCTCCCGCCGCCGAAACACTGAGTCCCGCACGCCTATAAAGTCGGGCTTATTTTAGTGCTTCCCTGTGGAGACGGTCAGATACGGGTGACTGTGATTTCCCCCGGGCTCAGAGGCGCTACTGCCCAGGTATAGACACCCCCCCACCCCGCCGCTACCGGGGCGATCTGGAGGGCTAGAGAACCCAGAGCAGCTGGGGGATGGTGTGTGCTGATTCACTAACCAGCAATGCCCAGATTCCCAACAGTGACGAGTGATTTAGGGCGCTCAGTGTGTGGGACTCTGACAATTAGGCTCCTTGAAGGCGTCTCACCCTCACCCCCAAATCACTTGCATCTTGCAGATCTCGGTCCACGTCCCAAAGCGTTTATTCCAACCTGTAGCAAAAGCAGTTACAAATGCCGGCTTCTCTACAGGCGGATCTCAGGCGGCTTCCTGTCTGTCCTGTTTTTGTACCAATTCTGGCCCTGCTCAGAGCGGGAGAGGAGCTGTGTGCGCGCAGGTAGCTAGCTCCAGTTGTTGGTTTCATGTGCACAGGGAGAGCGAGGGAGACTCTCTGAGCATATTGGCTGGAAAAAAAAAATCCCATTAGCCTTTGGCTTTTTAGGATTTCCTTTCAAGGTCTCAGAGAAGAAAGTCTGTGAGAGAGGGACAGTCCACTCTGAGGCCTTGGCCATTGGGATGGTTGTAGCAACCCTGGTGTTGGATTTCTCAGAATGGGTTCAGGCAAAAATTCTGGGGTTCAGTGTATCTTTATAATCTCCTCTGATAACTCGTTTCCTGACTCCCAGCTATAGAGTAATAAAAATGCTTCACACTCTGTTCCAGGGCCTTTCATCTTCAAAGCAGCTCTTTGCAAACATTAACCAATTAATCCTTGCAGGGAGTTAAGCATTTGGCCCCAATCCTGTAAACACTGAAGGGCCTGCTGTAAATCCCATTGACTTCACTGGAACTACTCACAGGCTTAAAGTTAAGCATGTGCATAAGTGTTGGCAGGGTCAGGGTCTTAGCTGACAAGCTTTATTGGTTTAAGCGGGGCTGCTCATTGTAGCAGAAATAGCCAGTTGCTGTGGGTAGAGTGACCCCTTTATGGTAGGAGAAATCCTTCCTAACCTTGCTGAGGAGAAGATGATGCCCTGAAGCATGAGATTTAGTTGCCCTTTTTAGGCTGCATAACTAGGAGTTCATCCCAGGCCAGGTTTCTATGCTGCATAGACGTGTTTTACAATTTCAGATTCTCTCCCACCCCTGCTTGGTTAAATTGCTGCTTTGGACAAAATGCTATTAAATCAATGCATTTGAGGAGGCAGCATAACCTAATGGCTAGATCACTGGGCTGGGACTCTGGAGACATGGGCTGTCTTCATGGCTCTGACCCTGATGTGCTGCATGACCTTGGGCAAGTCACTTCCCATCTCTCCCGCCCTGTATCTGAAGTGTGTGCGGAAGCTCTTGAGGGCACTGCTGTCCATCTGGGCAGCACCTAACGGCAAGGAACCTTGCACGGGCTACAGTAATGCAAATAATGGATCTGACTGTTAATACACTGAGAGAGGCAGCGAATAGAACTTTCATGTTAAAATACTTCCTATTGCCTTAAGTTGCAAGCCCCCTGAGTGGTATCTCAGTCAGAAATATTAACCGGGTGTCTAATATCTGCTTAATGCAGGTGGTGCACACCCACTGAAATCACTGGGACCTTTGCCCAGCGTGTATTGCTACAGCAGGGTTCGGACAGCCTTCCTCTGAAGTGTCTTGTGCTGCCACTTTCCCAGACAGGATGCTGGCCTCCCTGGGCCAGGGCTCTGTAGGAACACAGTCTAGCCAGCCCTGTGTTCCTATGATGGGGTCAGGCACAGCAGGGCTGCTGCATGCCCCGGGCGCTCAGATATCCCTGCAGTGGCAAGGCTATGAAGCAGAAGCAGGCCAACAGAAATCAGGAGCTGAGGGGAGCACAGACTGTTTTTGTGCTCCCCACACGCTGAAATCCACCATGATTGCAGCACTTATCACTGAAGGTAACTTAAACACTTGTATTGCCAGCAGATGCTTGGCTTCTAGCTCAGGTCCTGATCCCTCAAGGCCCTTACTCACCTGAATAATCCCCTGGAAGACTGTAGAACTGCTCATCGGAGTAAGGGCCTGAGCCTGCAGAATTTGTCTTTTCACTGTGGCTAATGCATCCATGTAGGAGCCTGGGATCTGTTATGTTAGTTGGGTTCACCCAGCAGGTGTCACTGCAGGGTGAGAACTATGGAGAGGAATCACTGGGTAGGAAAATGATGAACAGAGAAAATAGTCTCCGCACATCTGTGTGAACTGCCAGCCTGACCTGAGAGCTTCGGGGTCTGTCTCATGATTTTTTAACACTTTGGGGTTGAACTCCTCTGCTTTCCTGTGCAAGGTTCAGGATCGGGGCAATTTGGCTTTCTTTTTTTAATGGAAAGGATTTCAAGGAGAGTCCCCATGGTTTGCAGTTTCCCCAGCATCACCTCCTTTCAGAGCAGCCTGACCCCACTCCACCTTGTAACATAAGCATAGAGGGAGAATTCCCCCTATTGGAATAGACAGGCTGGTGGGGATGAGCCGCCAGGTGCTATGCATGGTCTCAGGGCTCTGTGATAAAGTTAACCCAACCCTCAAACTTATTTGTCTTGTTTTTCATTCCTATTAAACATCTTGGATATAAACTCCTGAGGGAGAGGGAATAAGTGGGTCTGAAGGTGAGCACTTTGGAAGCCAGACCTCTCGGACAGCAGCCAAATGGGGGAAGACTATAATGAGGCAGCCGTGTAAGGTGAGTGGTACCATTTGATGGTTTCAGTATCGCCATGACAAGTCAGGCCCCTGGATTTAGGGGAATTTAAAGACTGATGAATGCTGGGTTCTCTTGTTCTGCCTGCTGGGGTTCTGAGCTGTCAGGATTCACATTTCTCAAGCTTTCCTCTTGCACCAGGAGAAACTTACTTTCCATTTGAAATGAAAGCTGAGATTGTCCTGTAACAACAGGACCAGAGGCCTTAAGGAAAACACCAAATATCCCGAGACCTATGATCAAGTTGTGATAGTTGGCAAGACTTCATGAAGATGTGTACTGTTTCTTTAAATCTACAGCAGGAATCCAGGCAGGAACTGGAGGCTGGAGGAGGTACTGGAAGTAGAGACCAACAGAAGGCTTTAGGGATAACACTGGTTTCTTTATTCCAATAAAGTTCCTTGTTCAGAGTTAGAAGAAAACAGCTCTTTCTGTGACTCCTTGGCACTGTCACATGACAGCACCCAAAATCTGACATCCCAGAGACCATATACCAGCAGGACTGAGATAACATCCTAGCCTGCTGGAGTCAGTGGCAAAGCTCCCTTTAACTTCAGTGGGGACCAGGATTTCACCCTTGCCGTTTAGTGCAAGGAGAGCAGGCAGCCCAGTTCCTGCTGAAAGTCTCTTCAGAAGACCGTCTTCTTCTAATCACAGGGCAGGTGGCTGTTGGGGGCTCAGCCAGAGCGCCCCCCCCCAAAGCAGGGCAAGGAAGTTGGAGAAACTCCACGTTCTGAGGTTCAATGGGCAGCCTGCAGAGTTGCTCATCTTGCTGCTCTGTGCTTGGGAGCACAAGAGTAGTAACCTTACCCTTCACTCTCTCAACTCTGATAAGACCCTGTTTGTCCCTGGACCTCTCTGCCTTGTTGTCCTCCATCTCCCCAACCACCAAATCTTGCATCACAACCTCCCTCTGCTCAATACGGTTGTGCATTTGCCATCATGGCCTCAGTCAGACTTGCTTCTGTTGGCCCCAAAACACTGCAACATGGTGTTGGCTTAATTGACCGTGGAGCTATGCCACCCCACCAGATGAGGATCTGCCCTTCTGCCTCACACTGGTTCAAAACCACGCATGATATCACAATAAAACCGTTGTCCGGCGACTCACAAAGACTGATCTTACCTTGAAGAGCTGGCTTCTGGACCCTAGCTGGCTTGTCCTTCCCTGGTGCTGGATGCCAGCAGGTGTCTGGACTA